TTTGAAAGATCTTTAATGATTATTGATTTTTTTATATCAAACCTGTGGCTGACACTATGACAAAGCCATTAAGTTTCCTCGGAAAAATCTTTTAATAATTAACAGAAATTGGCAATTAAGAAATAATTAATAATTTTCTAACATTAAAAAAAAATAAGAAAAAATAAATTAATGAATTCTCTATGAATTTAGCTTGAAAAAATGATTTAAGATTTGTAAATTTGTGACGAAAAAAATTTAATAAGTTTATCGATAATGATTGAATTGTTTACTGTTTTTGTATTTTTAAAATACATTTTTCTATGATTAATAATAAAATTGTATTATTTTAAAATATTGAAATAACAAATTGAATGCAATTTCCGAAAAGTAATTTCCAAAAATTGTTGTTTACTTTCGAACTTTCCGTATTATCTGCATTATAAAACACCATAAATGTCTACTCTTACGTCTAACAAACAGAAAAATTTCCTTTTTTTTCTGATATACATCGAAAATTGATGTGATATACAACATCTTTAATGTATATGGCTTGTAGATAAAAATACACGGTAGTCCTTTTCCACTGGGAACAATACATATTGTTTGATGACTTATATGTGTATATATATATAATACTACATAATGCATCAACTACATTTACTAACTAAAATAAAATAAAAATTATATTCCTATTAATATTCTATAGAGAATGTAATTAAACTATTCTTCAAACTATTCAATATCAAATCCTCTTACAATAACATGATAAAAAGTCAAGTAAATATAGATTTAATCATGTCGTTCATTCATGGATTTCACGTTTCAAGTTATCTTCAAGGTATTTGCCTTGGAGAAAAATTTTAGATGAAGTTAGCAGACAAAATATTTAAAGAATTCTCCCATTTAATTAATATAAATTTAATATTATCAATCCATTCTTTGATGTACAGTTTAAAAAAAATTATAAAGCGTGTCTATAATAAAATTTGTAACATAAAAATACAAGGAAAAAAATTTTCAATACTTGAATATGATTAAAGTCAAATTAAATTTTTTGAACTTTTAAGCTATAAAATGAATTTTTTAACTATTTTTTTCTAACGAATAATCTTGGTATTTAACTAGTATGTGTATAACAATCAAGTTTCTCTCCATTGTTAAGAAGATTATTATGTCATCACAAAAGGAATTATGGAAGATAAAGACAATAACTTTTGATCCATGACTAACCTTAATTAAGATGTAATCCGATTATTCTTCGTACCTAATGTTTTTGCTCTTTCAAGTTGACACATATTTCATTATTAAAATATTACAAAAATTCGATAATTAAAAAATGAATTTTTATTATTTTTCGAATTTTTCTTGCAGCGAACAATAAAATTATGATTTATAAATATAATTATCAATTTCGTCAATAGTTAATTATTATTTATATAATTAAATTTAGAAGAGTTTTCTTTATCTAAAGAGATTAAAATGAGAGTTAAACTATTTAATATTCTTTAGTAAAGTTTATAGAGAAATCTAGATAATTCTTCTGAAAATTACACGTCTAGAAGTTAGTGAGAGAAAGGAGACTTAAGTGTTATTTGTAGAATTAGTTGGATTTAAACAGATTCTAAAGGAAATCGTATTACATTGTTTAATCCCAATTGCGAGATTTTAACCAATTTAGGAAAGAAAAGGTGTCTCTATTAATAAGATTAAGTAGCAAGAATAATAGATATTATTTTTAAGTTTGTTCGATTTACATTTCGTTGATATAAATGATATTAGCGTTTCAAAATCCTTTCAAAAATCAAAAAATATCTGTTGATTCTTGTATATCTAATGTCTGCTGACTCCTATTTAAAAGTAATAATTTATTATTTCTTTCCAAGAAGTATCTCAAGACATTTTTATTATGTATGCTATGGATATTAAATGCCCTCTCTCAGAAAATGACTTGTATACATGCAGGCGCGACCATATAGGTGAACTAAGTGGCCGCCTAGGGCGGTATCAAGATAGGCAATTTGCTTAAGAAAATATTATAAGATGATTTAGATAAACTCTACAATCAATAAATGAAATTGAATGTATTATAAATTTTATAATACTCAAATATATTTTTACGAGGGTGAGAGTCTTTATTTTGAAATAAATTAAGAAGATTCAATAAGTACAGTACATATGTATAAGTTTGACAAATAGAATTCCTTCATACGACCGTACACCTTATCAGAAAATCATATTGAACCTTACATGCATATATGCACGTGACATCTATTAGCGAATTTTCTCTTACCCTTTTTTTAGTTAATGTAGTGTTATTTATTGTCAGTAAACGTGTAATACTTATTAACTCGATTGTATTTTTTTGCATAAGTAATATAAACATACCACTATTTTGTATTGCAAATTTGTTAGTGTGTCGATTTTCTTTAGGGAGTCGTCTAAGACACAAATTTTTGTATGTACAGTACATATTAATCGTATCGAAAACAAGTAATGTTTTATAACAAAATTCATTGTGATTCTATCAATATAGTTTTAAGAAAATAAACTCATATTACTAGATACTTACTGACCCCTAGTTCCATGAGCTTTCTTTGAAACTGGCTCGCAGTACCCAGTTTTAAAAGCATTGAATTAAGTAGAAAATATTATAGATTAATAATTGCAATTGATGATTTACATCAATCAGTTTTACCTGAAGTTTCAGAATAAGTTTGACTTTGTTAACTTTAACTTATCAATGTAAATATTTATAATTCAATATGAAGATTTATTTTTCATGAATGTTTTCTATTAGATTTATGACATATAAATCATACATGTGCAAAAGCAGAATAACTAATCTATGTATAGTGTTGGATAGTGGACAGTAATATAGAATTTGCAAAGTAGGATCGAAGAATATTATTCTTTCGGCTAAACAGGGGAAACTTTTCTTCCTGCAAGAATTTATATCCCCGAAAGAAAGATAACGTTTGCAAAATGATCATAACAAGATTTTGTATGCAATAATCACTATCGAACTGTCAAGAGTGTACAAATAACAAGACATTGTAAATAGATCGACTTAATATAATATAGACTGAATATTGTCCTTACTAATCGGGATTGAAATGTCATATTTTGATATTTAATCAATGGATTTGGTTAATGTATTAATCGGAACTGAAACAAACAGTACATTTACATCATTATAATAATCATTAATGTAAACCTGGATTAAGGGAAAAAGTTTTTAACATTATATGGCGCATACGTTACGATATTTAATTAAAATTTTAATGGATATGCAATAATTAGAAAAAAACTTTAAACATTTGAAAAATCATTTTTTCAAATAATATTTTGTGACGTGGATAAAAAAAGAAATATAATAAACACGAATTATTAAAGACAAGAAGTAATTGGATTTTGAACAGAAAAATACTTCGCTAATCTAAAAGATTGATTGATAAAATTATATTTTGTGACTCTAAATTAATGTGAGAGTGTACTAAGACGTACATTTTCATTACTTTGTTTTGTATCATCTCGGTTTGTATTCTTGAAAATAACTTAATTTTTTCCAGCAAGTTTTCATCTAAACAAAATTTTTATCCAATTAAGCAATAATTACTCTTTGTCTTCTTCTCTGTTTATCATATTTATATCATGAAGCAGTTTTATTTCTATTTTTTTGGATAAAATAATTGTTTAAAATAATGCTAAGTTGTTTTTACAGAAAGTTAATGCTGTGATAAGAGCAATAGTTATATGGATTCCCTAAAAATTCTATGAAATATTTTTAAAAAGTTCATTGAATATCAAATACTTAATGTAGTGTTTTTGCTATGACTTTAGAATAAATCTCTTAAATTTTGGAAAGTGTTTTGTTTATTCATGTTGCATTAACTTGTACAGTACATCTGATTCACTGTACAAAAGTACAGCTGTATTTCTGATTTGTTTTAGATGTTATAAATGTTTAATAGCGAGTCTCTAAAGTATGTGATTTAATAAAATTTTCTTTTAACATTTTATAGATTTACTCAAAATTCTAAGAGAATTCAGGTAAGTTATGCCATAAAAAGAGAATTAACTCTGTAAAAACGATTTAAGATTACTTTAAATATTTAAAAAAAATTTCTTATCAAAGAAATACTGTAATATGATAAAAACAGTGAAGAAGATAAAGAATAAATGTTTTTAATTGCTATTGATAACGTTTGAGAACGTTCAGTATAAAATATTCAATACAATTTACTAAAAAAAAAAAAAATACTTATTTATGCAAAAATCACTCATACAAAAATGTACTCATTTAAATATGTAATTTTGAATATAATGAACAAAAGTTGAACATAAACACAGATTTTAAATTATAAGATTTAACATGATAAAGCTTAATTCTAATACAAAATTCAAATGTATAATTTTAATATAGATTTAATAATTAATGGATGAAAAATTTATCTTTTAATAGTTTTTATACTCAGATCGTCATATATATTGTTGTTTTTTAAATTAAAAAATGTATTCTGTGTCTTATTATGTATCGCAAATTACATATTTAGTGAATAAATTAATTATGTGAAATGCAATTAATTTGTATTCAGATATCATCCAATTTTGGCTTATTATGTTATAATAAACCAAAATTTATTATGTTATTATATTACATTATATTATATGACATTACAGATTAACAAAATGACATTTTAATGCTTAACATATACCAGATATATGTCTTTATAGCATAACTTTATGTTACAAAATTAACTTTGACTTTAGAAATAGTTTATATAAAGAGTCTTATATTGGTTTTGTAAAGAACAAGCTTAATTATAAGCCTTATAAATTTGATGTATTATAATATTCTAAATTTCATAATACAGTTTGAAAGTAAATGAGTTTCTGATTTAAAAATCATGAAATATAAAGGGTTAAGTATAGATTATGAATGACAACAATACAACATGAATTTTCACTTGTTTATTATTCAAATTTTTTGAAAACTCTTAATTATTAAACACATAATTCTCGTATTTAAACGTTGTCAAATTGATCAGCTAGACGATATAATTTTTTAAACTTTCCTTCCATTAAAACATTATTAAGTTTTCTAGGAAAATTCGTCATAATACCGTCGACTTGTAAACTGAATAAAATATAATATATTAATAAAAATATTGTTGATGCATTTTTATATTTATGGAATAATTTAACACTTAAATATTATAGTAAAAAATATTTTTATCAAGTGTTAAAATCAGTACGAGTGGATCTTACCTGAGCGCCTTTCTCATTGTCGATTTAAGATCGGTAGTCCATAAGTAAACTTTGTCAAGATATTTGTTTGATGTTAAATTTCTAATTAAAATACTATAGTATAATTTAGATAATGAAAATGGAAGGCAATTAGCATTGCCTTCACCTTTCCATCTTCTTTCCGTAATATTTAATGTATTATAAGTTTCGACTGTTGACTGAATATCGCTCGTAGAAATGTCCCAAGCTGTNTTTTTCGTTTAATTTTTCGTTTAATTTATTGATTAAATTTATAAGATTATATTTTAATAATATATTATGGTCGAGCCTGTGAGAGGTAATGCGGAGCCAGAAATCTGCAGTCTCGGCTTTTCTGAAGATAAAATGTTAATCAAATTAATGAAACAAATCAAATTGTTGTCATTTATCAAAAGAAATTCTAATTAATATTTTTTCTAGAGCATATTTTGGAGAGGTACAGTACATTAAGGATAGTTGTCTTAGTTCTATGTCTTTTTAGTTTTATGTAAAAAAATATTATGCATAAACCTATTGATATATGTGCTTCCCTCCAATGTTATTGAATGCGCCTCTCTTAAATTCTTATTATTTTTACTTTCCCGGCTGTTATATATAACAGAGGGAAAGTATGGAGTTCGATCAAAAAATGACCCCTTCAAGATTTTCAAATTTTTAGACTGAGGGGACCTTGAAACATCGAGAAATGCAAAACAATTCCAGAGTTTTTCTGTATGCATGGATGTTAGCGTGTGTGCCTGTGTGTGGAGCAAGATTTTGTTCACCCTGTTTGAAGCTTAATAACTCCTGTGCTTTTTGTCGAAAATTTCTGAAATTTTGCAGCAAGGTTTCTGTAATAGTTGGATTAATGCTGTTAAATTTTAATGGTAAAGGTCGATGGATGATTTCTATAAATTTATATGAACCCACCACTTCTAAATATGTATCGATATAACTTCTTCGCCATATCAACACCAGCTTCGAATTTGCACCAATCAGAAAGCTTACTTATTTTCAAATCAAATATTACCATATTCAGACTGGGATGATATTTGAGGCTTTCTCAAGAGGATTAAGGAAAAATGTAACAGAATTAAGTTCAATAAACTAAAAAAAAATCGATAAATTACTCTCGGTATGTGTTACCTGGATTAGAAATCTCGTCGAGTGCTGCCAAGTAATCACCGGCTTTAGCGTATCTCCAACAATTTCGAAAACAGTCGCAGGGAAATCCATGATAAGTATATTGAAACTGGCATTTAGAATTAAACATTACATCTGCTTCTATAGCATTAGCACCATCATTTAGACTTGGCACAATTTCAGAGATGCTATTGACCATATGAGCTATATTCCATACTGGACGAAGAAAACCAATTAACAGGTTTACCTGAAATAATTACAAATACAATCAACTTGTTTGAATTTATTATCACATGGGTACACTCTTGTTTCTTCTGCCATCTATTGGATTTTTGTGTAACAATATTTATTGCTGATATCTTAATCAGTTAGATTTACATCACATTTAATTCAACTAAATTTCATTTAAAATAATCATTTTTTTCTTCTAAGATATGTTCTTATTTTATTAAAATCAAATATTCTATTTTCTTTTATCTTCTTTGTTCATTAATTTAAATAAATTCAAATTTTTAATAAGAATGAATTGCATAACATTTATACACTAAATTATGTTTATTTGTTAAATTCCTAAAGATAATGTTTGAAATATATTATATTATTAAATATTTAAAATTCTATAAAAGAAAAAAGTGTTCAGATTTATATTTTAGATAAGATATAAGAAATTTAATTCGATTTATATGAAAATTTTACCTGAGCAATAAATACGAAGGCAAAAAACAATGTTTTAGCATAGGTCATAATCAGTTCTTCTGAGGAAAAACTGCTTTATAATTGCTGAGTTAAAAAACATCACTTAAGTATCTCAATAACTCTATCAAAGTTATATGAACTTTAATGTAAACACGCTCTAAACTTTATTTATGTTGATAGTTTTCGAAGTTTGTATACTTTCTATAAAAATTTGAGGCCCATTTAAGGTCAAACTATATTAGAAAAAGCTATGTCGATATTAATACGATTTTATACGAAAATATTTTAAAATTTCTTTCAATATGCGACGCATTTAACTTTACAGAAATCACTTTAAATCAGTTTAAAATCTGATAAAATTGAGTTTGATTTTCTTCAGATAAGCTAAATAGATTGAATTGAAAATTGCTAGATCAAATTGAGACTCTCCACAATCAGATTTCATTCATTTTTTTTTCAAAAATTTACTACTTTATAATATATATAAAGCCACTTACATTCGAGTGCGGAAGCTCATTAAATATATTATCCAATCTACCTTTAGCTTTGATCGCATTTAAATATTTCGCTTTATTATATTCGGTTATGGCCGGAGGATATTAAAAAGAGAAGAGAAAATGAAGAAAATAATATTTAGAAGATAAAAAAAAGTATAATAGATAACCATTGCCTTTGACGGAATGAATCGAATTACAAACATGTTCGTAAAAGTTGGACAATCAGCTGAAAACGTTAAGGTGAAGAATAAAAATGTCGTTTCTTTTAACTCACTGCNTATACCAAAGGTTTAGTAGGATGAATACATTATTTTTTCTGTTATTTTTTTTTTTATTTTATCTATATCTATTTATTTTAAAATCGATAATAAATCTGTAGACAGATATTTTAGATAGACATATAACGATACGACTTTTAGTTAGTGGATAAGAATTTGATAACTACCTTTCTCTTTTTTTATATCCTTCGTCGTCTTTCTACTTTCTTTATCCATTAAGACTTTCTAAAGAAAATGTCAAAAGTACTTCCGACTTGAATCAAATTTTAGATAATATTGAAATTCTTGTAAGATATTCTCTTTCTTGAATTTTATATTTAACTGTAATCATTTTTATACTCGAATTTTTTTTCCTCCCTCTGAAATTGCCAATTTTATTAATTTATTAAAATTAATTTTTAAGTTATTTTAGTTTTAAAATTATTTTTAATAATATAGTAACCTGAATAAAAAATTAAAAGCTTATCTACCATGTGATTCCGTTTACCAGGTTTTACTATATTAATATTTTGTTAATAAATTAAAACATTGCTTTTTAAAATACATTAACACTTTATTTATACAAAAGTTAGTTTTAAGCTTAACGCATGTGTAATACTGTATGTCTGACCAAGCAAAATCTTTGATAAAAGTTATTTTACAATATTAAATGAACGAACATCAGCACTTTTGTAGCAAAGATGTAAAATTCAATATAAATGATGGTTATAACTTGACTTATTGTACTTTATATATTCTTAAAATTTTAATTTCTTGAGTTAAAAAATTGCTTTTTTTATGATATAAAATTTTGTAATTCCTTTAAATTTGTCGTCATGTTATAATATAAATAATATGCATTTTATATTTTGTATATATTATCTACGTAAAACAATTAATCTTAAGATTAAAGCATTTTAATTAAAGCTTAAGCTAAAGTTTCAGAGGTTTAAATAAAAAAAAATAAGACTTTGTTAATAGTTCATCCGTTTGTCTGTACGTGTACAATTCAGACGGGAATTGGAAACTTACTGACGAGTTATAGTGACTAAATATATATTATAGTAACAAGCTTTGTTATAATTAAATTTAGAAATGTATGTTTTCCTGTAGAAAATTTTTGAAAAATTTGATAAAATGAATAAATAAATTGGAAAATAATAATATCTATATATTTACAATACTCGTGATTCAATTTTGTTCTAAATTATTTCGAATTTTGTAAAACTTTTGTATTATTTCAATATTTTACAAGAAATTTTTATTGTATTTATTCGTAAATATTACTTCAATTTATAAAATTTTAATCGATTTTCGAAAAATCTATTAATTTTATTTTTAAATTTAGTTTAGAACATTCTTAAATATATTTAACTACAGTAAATGGAGATTGTGTTTTCATCTAAACATTATGTATTGTAAAAGTGATAAATTCTGTACATTTTCATTTTGATTTTGACAAAACGAAAACGATATATTCATAGCTTTAACATATTTATAACCGTATAAATACACACAGTATATAAAAGTGTATAAATGTTACTTTAAGTACTAAATCTATATGGATCTTTCTGACCTAACTGGGGAGGTGTTGGGGACTATAGATACGTGCGAGCACACATACGCGGTGCACTGTACACCCCAGAGAGATTACCAGAGACTGCTAAGCCACATACAACTAGTTTTCCAGGAATGTCTACACCACATTGGCACACTTCTTTAGCTTGCTCTGTGTCAGAATTTGTCGTCTATCGAGCATTTGTAGACCAGATGGCTCACCAGCTTCGGCCATCTATGAGCTCAAGGGATCTGGAGCGGCAGTTGCAACATCTATGAACAAATACGTTGCAGGATATAGTATGGTGCCTGTATGACCGTATCAACACACGTATCCAGACAGAGGGTTTTTAAATTGTACCGTTGTTCTTTACTATGATATTGTAATCACTTATTACCGTCGACATTACCTTTGCACTAATAAAGCTTGGATATTGGATTCCAACGCCTCATTCTTGATACGTAATTTTTTTGTTAGTGAGTGTATATCCAATATATAATATATACTATTCAATATTTAAGATAATATTTATCTTGTCTATCTTGCAAAAATTGATGAACTGCTTGCAAAAAACGCACTTATCAGTTTTGAAATACAGTCGGCAATTTGTAAAAGTATGTCAGAACGTTATAACGAGAAGGATCTTGTTTTGAACAATTTTTGTAATGTTTATAACAGTAATAAAGTATTTGAACAAGATAACAATTTCAGTTTTTGCAATCGTTAACTATCTTTAAAGTCATCCTTATAAAACACAAAAGTGCCATACATAAAAATATTTTAATTTTAAATAAATTTTCAAAATGTTCATAAAAATTTATATGTTTAAAAACTTTCATTTTCGATAAGAAATTTAATGAATATTTTCATAGAATTTATGAAAAAATAAATAAAAATATTGTGGAAATTGTTTGAATTTTCAAAAGATTTTGTATATTTTTTGAAACGATGTAAGCTGTTAAAACTTTTGTCTTTGTTTGTTTGTTTTTCTTCTTTCCAAATCTGATCAATTTGTTCAAAATTTAAAGTATTTGCTTTAGATTTAAATTTTAAAAAACAATTTTATTTATCCTAATTTATAAAAAGCTTTGTATAATTTTTAATAAATTAATTAAATAAGTAAGTTATTTAAATACTTTTTAATTTACAAGTTTTAAAATGGCTTGGCATATAATAATACTGTATATCAATTTGATAAAATTAAGAAAATATTTTTAAAAAATCGATAAACTTATTTAAAAGGTTAATGTATCATCATTTCATTCCAAAAACACGTACATTAAACTTCTAAATTGTACTTTATAATGGAGAAATATGTGTTTTTGTTATTAAAAATCATAGTTTTTAAAATATTTTCATCTTACAAGACATAAAACTGTTCAATAAGTTGTAAGAAACGTTTTATAAATTTTTAATTTTTAAGAATATGTTTCGTTTGAAATTCCCAAGAGTAACTTTTCTGTTATCAGTTCAGACTTTTTTTTATCTTGTGGAAAATAACTGATAACTTTTGATATTTCGATGAAAGAGAAAATAATGATTTTTCAATGTTCATTCGAACTTTTCAAAAATAAATCATTTAAATTTATGAAGAATATAATGAGTTAGCTAGTGGAACTTTACATTCACAGTTATTTCATGTTGTATGGTACGTTCAATAAATAAACAGTTAAATATTATAATTTTAAGTTACTTATATATATAAAAAAATATATACAAATTTCTGTTTAAGTTTATTTAGATTTTGGAAACTCGATTTTCTGTATAAAAAAAAAAAGTGTTTAAGTTTAGGACAGCTTTAAGAAACGACGTACAGTACAGTACAACTTGCCATAGGCAGTAAGACATAGCAATATTCTTTTGACTGAAAATATAAAAATCAAAAACAAAACGCTCTATTTTTCTACGTTCAATAACAGACTTATACGAAAAAGATATAAGCTTATTCTCCTTCTTATATTCGATAAAAGTTAGTGTTTTTTTTAAAAAAAAAAAGTTGACGGGTATCTAGCTTATAAACTTTTAAATTGGAAATAGACATGTCTATTACAGATCTAAAATCTTTCGGAGTATCTATCAGCTGTCAAGATGATTATTATAAGTCGGATTTACACATAAACTAAAGCTACAGCACTGGGCTCGCTCTTTTAATATATTATTACTCGGTGGTGAGAGAGGGCCTCTTTTGTGTTAAAAACAAGACCACAACAAGTCATAAAAATATGAAAAATCTACACCAGGAAAGAATTGTAAAGCACTGATCATATTTATTATGATGTAAAAAATTTAAACGTAATATCCATTTAAAGATTTAAATCGTTTGTTTTATATACAAGGTTTTAAACTAAAATATTATTATTATTATTATTATTATACGAGTATATGCGATTTTCAGCTCTTCGTACTTCATTTTTCAACTCTAACTTTCATTTAGATATCTTATCTGTTCTTATCTCGCATAAAAATCTGCGAGTAAACGGAAAGATTCATATCATAAGCCATATGCCTTTTTTACTACCATTGCTTGTGTCTATCTACATTCAAGATTATTATCTTTAATATCGATAAGTCTATATCTATCAATAATAAGTACTGGAGCGTAAGAACGATAAAGTTGAAGACAAAATATGTGAATTTTTATAAATATAAATTAATAAAATTATTAATAGATATAATTTTTAAAGTAAAATATAATTTTAGCCAATAAAAAGAATTAAAATTTAATTAAGTGTTTTGTTTTTATATGCATTTAAAAGTTGTTTTTATTTATTTATTTTGAACGTTTAAAATAAACGAAAGACAAAGACTTAAAATTTGGAGGCTTATGTAGAAATTTTCTTTAGAAAATACATAATTTTTTTTTTTTTTTTAAATTGGGTAGAAATGTGCGCGTTTGTTATTGGAAAAAGATAGGATCAGTACTGAAAGCTACACTTATCTACTAGGATTTATTTAAAGATCGTTATTTAAATTTCATCCAAGTTTTCTTCCTATAAACAAGCTTAATCTTGTTTAGGAATTTATCTTTAATGTTGCTTTGTTATCTCTGTATAATTTTTACATAATTTTTCTGATAAATTTTGTATTTTCTAAATTTGCATACAAACATAAAATGATCTTTACAATTTTTTTATTATTATTGTAAATATTAAAGCAATTAAAATTGGGATTATTTCAAAACATTTCATTTTTTTTTTCTTTTATTAATTGAAATTTATATTTTATTTAAAAATTTTTATAGCTAATTTTGTTAATTTATTCTTACATGAATTGTCTTCTTTAATATATAAAATTAATCTTTAAAAAATACGAAATAAGACAAGAGAACAAGAATATAATTAGGGCACGCTTGTTTGTTTTCTCGAAACGTGCAAAGAAAATCTGAAAGTGTTTCTTTTCTTTGACATTTTTCTGCTTTTTTCCCTCATCTTTCTTTCATTTTTTTAAATTTAGTTATTAAATTGCAAGAAAAACTGCTGGCGTTATAATTAAATTTTTGTTAATTAAAAACTATGTTGTACCTAAATTTATTTATACGAATCAAATATTTATATTTATAACAATGTACGAAACAAATAAACATAGATTTAAAAACTATAAATATGAAGTTTTTATAGTTTTAAATCTATTTTAATGAATGCTTTAAATTAAAATAACAAAAATATTCATATATCAACCATTTATTAATTTCTTTATAATTTCCAAAAAAAATCCATTGATTTATGATTGTTTAACAAAATTTTTTAAATTAATTTTATGATACAACATAACATCTAACAGAAACTTAATTATTATTATTTTAAAACATTTTTATCATTAAAATTTTTACAGCTGTACAGAAATGTCATTAAAGCAAACTTTTATTTTAATTTTTCTTTAAATTTTATATATTTACTAGCCGGAAAATTTTACTTATAAAATAATATTAAGTAACAACTTAACAAAATAATAACACTGGTAACATTATCATCTTTGCAATGAGCCATTATTTTTGTTTCTAAGAAACACAATTAAACAATAGTGCGTGCAAAACAATTGTGTACATAACAACAAACAACTACACTTTATGTATATGTACTAATACCATATAACACATATAAGAATTAATCTCCGAAACGAGATGTGTTTAGTACGATAACGATACTGTAATGTATTGACAACTTTTTTTCTTCACGTTTATTATACAGGTACTGTTGTAGCGCAACAATTACAACCATTTTTAATTAACAGATTAGATGAAATTCCATGCTTTATCTATACACATGTACAGTACATATACATTGAATTAACTGAATCTACGAAAATACAACCCATACAAATTATGTTTATGTGTAACAGTTATATCACAATAATCTGAAGATTTTTAATAATTTAAAAAATTTTTTTGTTTGCCAAGATTCAGAAAGATATGTTTGAAGATTGTTTTAAATTTTTGTTTATTTGTTTAAAGTTATTCAGAGAAAATTGATATAACATTTTAGATATAATATAGATAAAGATTATTTTCTTAAATTGTGCCAAATATAATTTTTAATTTAATATCTGCTTAATGAATTCTGAGAAACAAACGTGTATTAATGGAACATTTCCATAGAAATCCAATACTCTAAATATGATATGTCACTGAATTAATGGATATGGAAGACGTTCTACTTTCATAGAGTTTTAATTCAGCTGTGATGTGATATATTATATTATTAGAGTTATTTAGATTCTATGGAGTTTATAAACTATAAACAACGTTGACACAAAGTTGATACTTTGATTCTAATGTGAACATTTAGTCACATTTAGTGCTAAAATATGGAAGCACAAATCAGTTTTTCTATATAATAATCTAAGTTGAAGTTGCCTGATCTAAACAATTATTTAGAATTAATTATTCTTTAGCTTCAATCTTTTTTCTTTTGGTTCGCTTTCAATTGATAGTACAACGCATTCGTGATTAAAAAGAAAAGATTTTTTTTGCCTTGTTTACGAATTTACGGTTTAAAGATAAGTATAAAGTTGTTCCCATATTTGCAGAAATTTAAATCTGACAAAACAGTTCTAAAATATTCAAGAAAATTGCCTACTATGAGATAATTTTATAATAATAATAACATTTGTTTACATGGATTAATTAGTAAATATGATTTTTTTTGAAGAAATATTCTCATTTTAGGCATATTTCTATAATTTAAAATGAAATTTATATACGTATATATACATATTTAATTAAGAAACGAAATAAAAATAAATATATAGGAGATAAATGCATATTTACTTTAATCATCAATCATGTTTTATGAAAATCACCCCTCATAATTCTGTAGAAAGTCTTTTTGAATTGCTGATTGGCCATAGCGTAACAAAATGGATTTATGGGACTATTGGCGTAACATAAAAAGTAAGTGAAATAGAAAAGATGATGGTTTACACATCCATTTGGATCTGTACAAAATCCCTGTACCAATGCTAGAATGTGATATGGTGTCCAACATAATACAAATGCTCCCAAAATAAAAGAGATTGTCCTCAATGCTTTTCTGGCACGATTCTCCGATTTCGACTTTTGTCTTCTCTCTCCCCGTTTCTTTTTCCGACTGTTTTTTATTTTCTTTCCCAGAGAACTAACTAATGTCCTTCTGGACTGCAAGTAATCTTTAGCAAAGGGCACTGTTTCGGAATCGACCGTCGAAAGCTTCTCGTTTGGTTTAGCTAATCTGATAACCGCTCTGGTTCCCTTTTCGGTGGTATCAACGATGCTATTTCTTTTCTGATGAAGATCGCTATCTTTCGACGCCTTCGTCGACGAAGAGTGCTCGCCTGACTGAGAAGTACCAATTAACATCGTACCGTAAGTAGAAGTTTGAAGTGATGGATTCTTATCAGCGGGAATGGTAGACGAGTCGGATGTGTGATCGATACACGACTTTATTTGTAAAGAATTAGGTGGAATTGGTTTATCCTGAGTTGCGGCATCTAATGTACTTGATGTATTAACTGTATTTTGTGTTTTCTCTTCTACGTCCATTAAGTTTTGCACCGGTCGGGGGATAGCTATAGTTTTGAATGGGTCCACTGGTGATCTAGAAGGTGCTCTCGGTGGAGGATTAAGTTTTGGTATTGGTTCTCCCGTAACGGGCGATGTGGCAGAAGGTGACTTGGAAAATTTGGGTTTTTTTGTTTTAGTTTTTGTTTTGCGCTCTTTTTTCACAGATTCTTTCTCATGTATTGTATCGTCGTCGGAATCAAAAACTGGACTACTCGAATTATCATTGTCTTCACTATTTTTCTTTGAAGAAAAGCTTGTTGTTTCTGTAATAGCTTTATTAGTAAGTAGTTTATCGGTTGAATCTAATCCCGAATTTTCTTGTCTGTCAGGTTGTATAGAAAGAGTGAGTGCCTCACCACCATCTACGAGAGAAACTGAGGATGCTTCCTTGCACGATGCAGAAGATTTAGGCTTTTCTAACTTCAACAATACACTTTGAGTATTTTTTGAACTTTCTTTTTTTTGATCGACAGTATTTTTACTAAGAGCAACTAAAGATTGCATTTTTCTTTGTTTAGCTTCCGCTCTCTTATGCATATCGCTGGCTGTTTTATAAATCCCACCGTATAAAACAATCAAAACTACTAACGTAGCGTAAAAATAACCAAATATAAGTGACGTATTAAACACTGGATCCTTCAAAAATTGCACAGCACATTCTCCGGGTGCCAAATCTCTGTATCCGATAAAATGTTCCCATCCCATAACACTGATAAAAAATACTAACGATGGTATTATCCACGTAATCACTAATAAAAACATGACTTTAGTTTTCGTTCTCCAGCTTCTATACTTTGTTGCTATTTTAACAGAACAATAACGATCTATGGTAATTAAAAGTACGGTATAAATAGACACAAGACAAACAGTATGATCTGTTGCTAGCCACAGATCACATATGATTGGTCCTAATTCCCATCTACCAGCTAAAACATACACAGCATAAAATGGCATAGAAATAAGTCCAATAAGAAGATCCGAAAGCGCTAGAGAGCCAATAAAGTAATTACTCGGCTGACGTATAGCACGTTCCACAATAAAAGCAGCCAGCACTAGAATATTCCCAGCAACTGTTAATATAACACAAATTCCAATAAGAATACCAATAACCACCGTCTGCCATAGATTAAATGGCATTGTCCATTGACCTTCAATACGTCCTTCATTTTGCAGAGTAACGTTGCACATAAGTGTACTATTGTAAGATGTAATATTATTGCAAATCACTTTACCAACTTTTAGGGTGTTATTGGGTACTTCTACCCAACTTACATTGGGTTCAATCATTTTTTCCCAAAGTACATATATTTCATCCGTAGTGCTTTCTTTTGAATTTTCTGTTGAAAAAATCATATCACTGCAGTAAAAATGCGTTTATTTTTTATCCAAATTCATGAAATTCTTCTCGAAGCTTTCTTCTTTATCTTCGACTTATCATAATGATCAAGAATCTATCCCCTGTACAGAAAAATGTTTCAATTACTATAATTATATTTTACATTAAAATGAAAATGCATTAAACATTAAAATATATATATCACATAAAATTAATTTAATCTACAATGAATTTTAACTAATTTCAACCTGAGATTTAACAGTAAGAAGTATTATTCAGTAATTCGTAATTAGTTCAAAAGGTGGAAATAAGCGTAGTAATACTCCCCATTTAATTATCGCTTCACTTACAGGCCCATTATTTTAACTGAAGTAATCTTTAATTACCATGCAGGTAATTAATTAAAAATCAGATAAAACATTCCTATCAAAGTTCATAAGTTTTAAAATAGGCAACAATTTCACAGCGATATAATACAATAATTCGTACATAAAACAATCAGAAATATATACATCAATAAATCTAATTGTTTAAAGAGAAATGTATATGCAACCTTTAAATGATATATAAATCTTTATATATAGACTTTTGAAAATTCTACTTAAATAAAAGAAATTAAAATATTTTAATAAAAGCAACGATGTATAAAGTAAATAAATTAAATCTGAAATAAATAAATATTTAAATAAAATAAATTTCTAAAAATAAAATTACTTAAGACAGAAGATTTAAACGGAGAAAGAAAAATTTTACCAAAATAAATTAACATTTTAAAATATAGAATAGAAAATATGATATAAGAAGTATAGATTATATCTTGCATTTGAAGGAAGAGTAAACATTTAAATAAAATAAATTGATATATAAAAGATAATATATATTAATATAAAATATTTTAACACATCGTGTAAAATTTAATCATATAATATCCAAAATTAAAATAAATTGCGCAAACAGGAAAAAATAGAAAAAATTGGATAGAGGCATAAACGTACAGTATAAGAGAAGCCCATACTTTAAAAGAAGAATTAATCAAAAGAATGTACAGTCTTGTTTTATAAAAAGGAATAATCATATATCAATTTAATAGTAGACATTTTAAAAAGAAAGTGCTAAAAATTTAAACATAAATGTTAACATTTCAGTAGATAAAATACAGATAAGATTAAACTGAAGAAATATATCTAGTGAAAGAAATTGATAATTTAGATAACCGTTTACATGGCATAAAAGAATATATTTAAATGGAAGAAATACCGTAATCTATCAAAATCTGACTTATACAAAATATAAAATGTTTTAAAAACAAATGAAATATTTAACAAAGTATGTTGACATTTAAAATATCAACATCCTACCGAATCGCCCAAAAGAAGAAATAAACATTTTAACAAAAAAATATTTTACTGCGTTATAAACTTATAACGTAGAATATTTTAAAATAACAAAATTAAATATGCATAAACGAAAGAGTAGTTATAATGAATTCTTTTTTTATCCCAGGAATTTATTTTCTTGCTTCTATTTACAGCTGACGTTCAATCTTCAATCTAAGTTAAGCTTTATCTGGATTACACGAACGAACTGTCGAAGATTTCATCTACAGATTGGAATATCATTCAACGAAAATAGAATTTCTATTAACCTAAACATACAAAAGTTTCATTCAATTTTCTTTTTATTGTTTTACCGCAAATAAATTTCAAAATCACATTTATAAAACTTCGCAATAGCAAAATTACTATACAGGCCCTATATATTTTGGATTTAAATAAAATAAAATAATTTAAAAATCGATCAAACACAAAAGAATAAATAAAATAAGCATCTATTTAAATTAAAAAAAAAAAATTATTTATTTAATATCTTCCTTTTTAAGGCAGACTTTCTTCTTAAATTATATGGTAATGCACTGAACATTTTATGAGTTAATTTTAGTAAATATTTACTTTAAGATCACCAATAGATATAATTTATAGATTATATAATTATGCACGGAAGTTTATGTTGTTATAGAATAGAAATAATCAAATAAAAAATTCAAGTGTAAGTGAATTATATAAATGTAATTTTTGGTACAAATTATACTAATTAAGAACATGTATCTAAGTATAAGATGTTGGAGATTTAGGTTAAACTGGTTGATGTAGAAGGAAAATTTACTGGTGATAAGTAGAATTGGATTGTTATAAAAAGACATCCCTTGTAACTGGCCAATGGCCTTAATACTAATAAAATTGTTTGATTGATGGATTGAAAACGTGAAAAGAAAACACCATGTAATAGAACAAAAATTATTTAGACAAGAAAAAGAAGAGAAACATACCTGATAGAAGATGAACATGGTAAACAAGGTTTGGGTTTGTTACATTTATTGATTTGACGGTTAGTTTTTTCAAGCTGTTTCATGCAACTGGGTTAATATGTGTATAAATAATTTTATAAAAGTAAATAATAATTGTGAATGTGATTAATAATAATAAAAAAGCAATCTTAACAAAAACAGAAAAACANATATTAACGTTTATAGAATAGTTTTTTTTTAATTAAAATATTAAGCAGATTTTATTATTAATGCTTCCATTGAGCCCATAATATGTTTATTTAATAATTATACTATAAATTTATAATAATATCACTTAAATATTTTACAGAATAAATATAACATCTAAACATAGTACTTACTGTAAAATATTGATTATCCAATTTTATTCTAAACAGCTTATACATCATTTCAAGACTTTCATTATTCATTTTTGTTGCTCAAGACATGCTCCTAATCATTATTAAGCTTAACACAAACAAGTTTAAGCTTAATTGTTATTAATTAAACTTAATAATTTCATTTAAGAGTAGTAATTTATGAATTTCAAATTAATAGTCCTCAAGAATCGGAACTTTATTTAAAGATTACAATAAAATCATACTATTTTTATTAGCTCTTATTTAATATCAAATAAAATAATTTAGAAAATATTATATAATTTTATTTTTATTTTTTATAATCCGATATTATTATTGAAATTCTCTGTTTTATTTCATTTCCCTTATAATAAATGAGATTCTAAATATGTATATGCTTGTTTTATATATTATAAAGTAATTTAAAGTATTTTATAAATCTAAAATTAATTTTTTTAAATATGTCTTTGACAATTTTTGTAAAATTTTTACGTTAATTTACATATTACTTGAAACAATTAACTAATACCATTACATTGTTGAACGAAAACTATCCAAAGTATTCTCTCTCGTTTTAATTACATTTCTGCATTTTTAATGGTAATAAAATGATTAATATTTAAATTTTCCTAATGATTTTATTGGTTAATTAACAAATAAGTAAAATTGTTTAACGACTAGAAGAGTCAGATTAGTACAGATCATCCGCAAAACTTCTCTTCTATTTCTTATTAAATAAAGGCCATTGCAATGCTGCAGATCAGCGTCTAATTTTAACAATCTCATTAAATGTATGACGTAATATTTATTAAATTCTAGATTAACAAATTTATTAAAATTAAACATAAGTCTTCTGAGAATTAAATTTAATTTGTAAGCAATAAATCGAGTTTAATTGTGTCTGTAACAAAAATGTACATCCTTGAAAAGATATTAAATTATCCATTCAAAGTCATGTTTAAACCATAGAATAATCAGCAATATATTTAAAATTTATTTATTTTTTTTAAAATAAAAACAAGCATCTAAAAGTTAAAATTGATTTTTCAGTTTGCATTTCTTCGTTACAACAAAAAATGAAGAGGGTGCATTTATACAAGAGAAGGGAAAAAAGTACAAAGATTTTTATATACTATAAATAAATATAATGAAGTTTGGCTTAATTTTAATTAAATGAACAGGTTGTCAAACACGATACTTGTTCACATTCTTCATTTGTTTGACGTTAACACGCAAAGAACTCAGTCTAGTTGACAACACCGAATATTAATGCTTCATAACAGATTTTACTAAAACGAAATGATATTATGTAGAAAAAAGAAATAAATTATAGTTTAAATTTATATCAAAAATTATTTATTTTCTAGAGAATAGCGTGACTATAATACTGTTATCTACACGAATCTTTATGCCTCTTATTACTTGATTTATGTCAATACAACTTCCGCGATTTTAATATATGTCGTTAATAATTTCATTAATCTTTCGAAAGGAATTTAATATGTCGAAAAGTCCTCCAAGAAGTAAAATGATTATACCTGTAACAATAACAGTACTTGAAAAATAATTCATTCGTAACATTATACTCTTGAATTATAACTTGTAATTATGAATTCCCCGATTGTAATTTTCTTTTCACTGCTTTACAGATTTAATAATAAAACAAAAATTTTATCTTTTAATTAAGATTTCGTTTTATTTNTTTAAATAAAATAAATTGATATATAAAAGATAATATATATTAATATAAAATATTTTAACACATCGTGTAAAATTTAATCATATAATATCCAAAATTAAAATAAATTGCGCAAACAGGAAAAAATAGAAAAAATTGGATAGAGGCATAAACGTACAGTATAAGAGAAGCCCATACTTTAAAAGAAGAATTAATCAAAAGAATGTACAGTCTTGTTTTATAAAAAGGAATAATCATATATCAATTTAATAGTAGACATTTTAAAAAGAAAGTGCTAAAAATTTAAACATAAATGTTAACATTTCAGTAGATAAAATACAGATAAGATTAAACTGAAGAAATATATCTAGTGAAAGAAATTGATAATTTAGATAACCGTTTACATGGCATAAAAGAATATATTTAAATGGAAGAAATACCGTAATCTATCAAAATCTGACTTATACAAAATATAAAATGTTTTAAAAACAAATGAAATATTTAACAAAGTATGTTGACATTTAAAATATCAACATCCTACCGAATCGCCCAAAAGAAGAAATAAACATTTTAACAAAAAAATATTTTACTGCGTTATAAACTTATAACGTAGAATATTTTAAAATAACAAAATTAAATATGCATAAACGAAAGAGTAGTTATAATGAATTCTTTTTTTATCCCAGGAATTTATTTTCTTGCTTCTATTTACAGCTGACGTTCAATCTTCAATCTAAGTTAAGCTTTATCTGGATTACACGAACGAACTGTCGAAGATTTCATCTACAGATTGGAATATTATTCAACGAAAATAGAATTTCTATTAACCTAAACATACAAAAGTTTCATTCAATTTTCTTTTTATTGTTTTACCGCAAATAAATTTCAAAATCACATTTATAAAACTTCGCAATAGCAAAATTACTATACAGGCCCTATATATTTTGGATTTAAATAAAATAAAATAATTTAAAAATCGATCAAACACAAAAGAATAAATAAAATAAGCATCTATTTAAATTAAAAAAAAAAAATTATTTATTTAATATCTTCCTTTTTAAGGCAGACTTTCTTCTTAAATTATATGGTAATGCACTGAACATTTTATGAGTTAATTTTAGTAAATATTTACTTTAAGATCACCAATAGATATAATTTATAGATTATATAATTATGCACGGAAGTTTATGTTGTTATAGAATAGAAATAATCAAATAAAAAATTCAAGTGTAAGTGAATTATATAAATGTAATTTTTGGTACAAATTATACTAATTAAGAACATGTATCTAAGTATAAGATGTTGGAGATTTAGGTTAAACTGGTTGATGTAGAAGGAAAATTTACTGGTGATAAGTAGAATTGGATTGTTATAAAAAGACATCCCTTGTAACTGGCCAATGGCCTTAATACTAATAAAATTGTTTGATTGATGGATTGAAAACGTGAAAAGAAAACACCATGTAATAGAACAAAAATTATTTAGACAAGAAAAAGAAGAGAAACATACCTGATAGAAGATGAACATGGTAAACAAGGTTTGGGTTTGTTACATTTATTGATTTGACGGTTAGTTTTTTCAAGCTGTTTCATGCAACTGGGTTAATATGTGTATAAATAATTTTATAAAAGTAAATAATAATTGTGAATGTGATTAATAATAATAAAAAAGCAATCTTAACAAAAACAGAAAAACAATAAAATTCATTTAGAGAATAATAAATGATCATGCTGATATTCTTAATATTATTACAAATTTATGTCTATTTTTGTCAAATCGCTAATGTACTTAAGTCAATATACACTACTGTATTTGTGAATTCAGAAGCAAGTTATTCTGATTTGCGTGAACTGTAAAAATTCAAGGCACGTCATTGTTTCTATATTTAGCGCGACTTCGAAATCTCCGTACAGGGAACATTAGTAATTAATTGTGAGATCGCGTCTTACCAAGCAGAGTTTTTTGATTTCTTGATTCGTCTAATAACTAAATATTGCTTAGTTTTCCATCTAACGTGATTTTATTCCTCGATAAGAACAGTACGGTGATTAATAAAAAACATGACGATAAACAATGCAACGATAATCATAGCAGTGTTTAGTTATTATCAGTCCAGAATTTTAGGTACAGCCCAAATTTTTAGTATTAATATTGCAGAACCATACTCGAAAAATATATTTAAGAAATTCTACCAATCACTTATATATATACTACATTAATTAACATCATTTTTATATCAAATTATATTGGCAATGATGGAGAAATCGGAGAACGAAATCTATTCTTGTGTATTTTCATTCTCTCACAATATATCAAAAGTTTTGCATGTAATCGTTTTTCGCATAACAATGACTTATTTCATTATATTATGTGATTTTAATTCTTCAAATTTATTCAAAATTTCTACATATTCTTAAATATAGTGAAATTGTTTATTCATTTATCAGCAGATTTAAAAATCAACGATCGCAAATATCACAAAACTGCAATGTATTATGTCCTATTCGGTTACATTAATTCTTTCTTTATTATTTTAAATGCAATCATGATAGCAATAGATAGAAATGGGAAATTTTTTTATTCTTTTTCTTGCAATTGTGAGACCTGAAAGGCCCCTGGGTCTAAACCAGTAATTTTATTAATAATGTTAAATATTGTCGTAAAATATTATTTCATTTTTGTGAGAAAAATAATGTTTTAACGTGGGAAAAGGCAGAAAACAGATGTTACTTCCTTTGAGGGAAGTTCGTACATCCTCTGTTTTTCCCTTATCCGCTAAAAATCTCGCTCAGATGGGAACTATCTACCCCTCTTTGATCCCCCTTTCATCCGTTCACATGAAAGAGTTTCTAGCAGATGATTGGTCGTAAATCCTGAGATATAGAGGAAATTTGTCAGAATTCGGGGAGTTCATCGACAGACCTGGAAGTGTCCGGACTCCACATGTTTTTCTCCTGATGACCAACGCCCTTAGACGAGTC